GCTTTCATTTGGATTTTTCCCGGCGGGAATGGGATCCGAAAGCCGCCGATATTCCCGGTTTTAACTCGGTTTATTCCCGGTTTTAACTCGGTTTATTCCCGGTTTTAACTCGGTTTATTCCCGGTTTTCCCCCAGTTTATTCCCGGATTTTTCCCAATTTTTCCCCGATTTTTTGCAATTTTTTTCCCAATTTTTCCCCGATTTTTTTTCTCAATTTTCCCCCGATTTTTCCCTGGTTTTTTCCCGATTTTCCCCCAGTTTATTCCCGATTTTTTCCCGGTTTTTTTCCCAATTTTTTCCTGATTTCCCCTCGGTTTTTTCCCCATTTTTCCCCATTTTTTCCCAATTTTCCCCCGATTTTTCCCAGCATTCCAATCCCGTTTTTCCTCCTTTTCCCCCCAAAAAACCCCGGGAACGCCGCTGGGATCGGGGATTTTCTGGAATTCATTCCCGGAATTCTTTTCTTGGTTTTTCCCACCCAGAAATTCCCTTTTCCCGGGAAAAGAACGGCTCCGAATTCCCGCCGGCATTTCTCCCGGGTTCTTTCTTTTCCCGCTTTTTCTCTTTTCCCGCTTTTTTTCTTTCCCGGATTTTTTTTTTCCCCAGGATTTTTTTTGCTTTTCCCGGGTTTGTTTTTCCCGGTTTTTTTCCTTTTTTCCCGATTTTTTTTCATTTTTCTCGGGTTTCTTTTCCCGTTTTTCCCGGTTTTTTTCCCGGATTTTCCCGGGTTTTTTTCCCTGTTTTTCCCGGGTTTTCCCAGGTTTTTTTCCCGGGTTTTCCCAGGTTTTTTTCCCGGTTTTTCCTGGGTTTTCCCGTGTTTTTTTCCCGCTTTTCCCGGGGTTTTTCCCGGGATCTTTTCCCGGATTTTCCCGGGTTTTTTCCCCGGTTTTTCCCGGGTTTTTTCCCCGGTTTTTTTCCCGGTTTTTCCCAGGTTTTTTCCCCGGTTTTTCCCGGGTTTTTTTCCCGGTTTTTCCTGGTTTTTCCCAGGTTTTTCTCCCGTTTTTCCCGGTTTTTTTCCCGCTTTTCCCCTCTCCCCCCGAAGGGCGGGATCGGGATCGGGGCTGGAATTTTCTGCCGAGGCTCCCCCGCATTCCAGGAGAAATCCGGGAGCTTTTCCAGGAGGATCCCGCGGAATTCTCTTCCTCCTCCTCCTCCTCCTCCTCCTCCTCCCCCAGTTCCCGGCGCTTCGCTTGGAATTTTTTCCCTTTTTTTTTTTTTTAAAATTTTTCCCGAGTTTTTTTTTCTCTCTTTTCCCAAAGGAATTTTTTTCCTGGTTTGGGTTTTTTTTTTCCCCTTTTTTCCCGAGTTTTTCCCGTCCTTTCCCAGCCCGGGAGCTCCCGAAGCCGATCCCAAAGAATTCCAGACCCTCAGGAGCCCCTGGAACCCCAAAAACCCCAAACC